GCTTTTTCCTTCTGGCCAAAACGTCAGCATCTTAAAAGTATATTAAAGTGCTTATCTTTCCTTTGAAAGCAGAGTACTTAAAAGCTAGCTTTAAGACCATCAAAACAGTTTTATAACTTTAATTTTCTAATAAAATATATTCTGTAGAAACTAAATTGAACACTTTAAGTTAAGATTTACGACTTTGTGCATTTAGAAAATGTAAAGGCCTAAAAACTCTAAACTAACTTTATTCTTTGGACTTCAAAAGCCAATCACTGTATCAATTTTCCTCTGATTTTTCTTTCAGTGCCCGCCCTCGCATTTGACAACCTGCGTTAGCCTTGGCAGAAGCTCTTGAAGAACTCAGGACTCTTCAGTTGACGGCCGGCGGCGTCTTCTGTTCGTCGGGCCAACTAAAATAAATACACAATGTTGTAATTTAGAAGAATATTTGCACAGCAATTATTTTCATAGCAGTGGCCGCAGTCGAGCGGTAACAAGGCCAAAAACAAAAGTGAATTGTTGGCCCCAACCACGGGACATAAGATCTCCGAGTCCAGTTTCCCGGGCAGAGGCCACTGCGAAAACATTTAATTGTTATTTTTACCAAATGAATGGCAAACGGCCCGCAGCACACGACACAAATTGCGGTGTGCTCATTACGACAATGTGCTCTTGGCCAAAGGGAAGAGTATGGGAAATGGGTTGACTCCATCGCAAAAGGTCTGGGAGGGAGCTTGGAGGAAGGATGATGGCATCACCATTCGCCATCACCATCAAGCAGACAGGGAAGAATGGACCACAAACGCTAACGCATCTGCCATCTTTCATGCCTGGCCTGGCACACACTTAGGAAAAAGGAAGGTTAATGGATTGGAACTTTTAATATAAGATTTAATTAACTAATTTGGGAGACAAACCACAAATCTAAGTGGAATTTACTATTCAAGTTTTATATACCCGTTCTTATGTAGGTAACTTCACTTCACCCAACTAACCCCTTTTTCCTAACAGTGCACTTTTCCTGTGTTGCCGCTCGACAAAGCTACATTGTTGCGTCGACCTGCGGCTGTGTGGAACGCATTGAAGCGAGTTGGCCAAGTGGAGCACTTCATTGCGTGCCCTGTGCCATATTTTTTCCACTAATTAAAATAAACAAAATGCCAGAAAACCCACAAACTGGGCATCTCATCGCATCATCTGCATCTGCATCTGGTATGCAACGGGAGGACGACAGGAAAGTCAGTTTGTCGCTGTGGGAATGTGGCATCCTAGATGTTAGATGTTTGGTTTTTAAGAGGAAAGTGGCACAAGGTTGTGCTTGGCCCCAACCGCAGTGGACAGCAAACAGCGTTGATGGATATAGTTGGCGACCTGTCCTGGCATTGACATCCTTTTGACCGTATCAATGGCGAAAACCCGACAGAACAGTGAACTCTATGGCAGAAGTTTTACCCGCCAACAATTACGAGCAATTAGCCGGAGTTCTCTCAACTCCCCAGTCCCAGTAACCCCAGGCGATACATGCTCAAATTACGTATACGTAGGTTGAATAAGTAAAAAGTTGGGAAAATGACTAAGGGATACCCATTGTGATGTAAGATTTTAAAGAAAGATTAGATTTTGTATCGCCTAAATGAAATTTCTAATTAAAAATGACAACTTTGACTCTTAGAATACCTAAACACGGATTTCAGATGAAATTTTCATTAACTCTTTTTCGACCAACCAAGATGTTTGCCACTTTGAAATAGAAAATACCTTAATTAACCTTACTTAATGGTTTCTGGCAAATATAAAAAAATAAATACCTTCATTTACTAGTCTCAAAATCACTTCCTTTTATCATTTACATCTATAATATACCCTTGGAATATAAAACCATGAGAATAAAAACTGATTGAGAAGTGCAAGCACCAACAGCAAATTAAACACTGCCCTGCAGGGTGGCACTTGTCTGAACAGTACACTATACTCTCATTACGATTTCACATAATAATTTTAATAACAACTTTTTAATTGCTTATTCATGTACCGCCAACGAAAACTGCTGACGGACCAGAGTCCGAGTTCTTAACGAAAGGAATGGAAAGGAAAGGATCTTAGCTCAGTGCTGACTGGCCCTGGCATAAACTTTTGCTTTTTAAATGTTTCTTTATTAGTTGCTGTAATTGTTTTTTGTTTTTTCCCAGGGATGAAGATGGGCAAATGGGCAATGGGGAATACTTTTTGGGTGGTGCTGGAACACCGAACACGGATTCAACTCTGATGCTGCGGTGGCTGTGGTTTCGTCTTGTTTTTGCTTCATCAAAGAAATCGAGACTTGAGTTCTGAAAACTTTACGCGAAGTGCAGCTGCAACAAAGTTGGCCAAGAAATATGTAGCTGTAGGAAATTTCATTGTTCTCCTCCTCGTTTTTGGGACTGCTGTTTTGCCTTATTTTATTTATATATATATATATTTATTTTTTTGCCTTACGCTCCTTGTTGTTGTAATTGTTTTGTCTTTTGTAAGCACACCGGAAATGCTCCAATTTTGTGTTGGACCGTTGCGGAAATGCTTGGCAGCCACACCACAAAAGCAAAAAACCGAATCTCGTTATGTGTACATACATATTTATGTACCTACTCATTTATAGTGTTAAATTTATACCTATTATGCAAGCATTACAGTCGAAGGTCTTTAAACTGTAGAAGAAAGGCAGTTTCAGTTTTTAAAGCTAAAAATACAAATCAAATTTATGGAATATTAAATGGCTTTTGCTAAATAAATAGTTATAAAAATAGGCTATAAACAAGTAAAGGACACATAAATGATATTGAAGTGATAGGTTTTAAATGAAAATCTTTTCTTTTAAACTTTTTTGTAGCTTTTTAATTGAAAATCTTTTTTTTGTTTATTTATTGAGTGCAATCTTTCACCAAGACAGACTTTTTGTTATCTCATCCTGAATAAATATAAGTTTCTCTGTCCAATCCTAAGGCTCTTTATTTCTTTTTTTAGAGTAAACCCGATTGGTATAAAACTGTGTTAAATGCCTGCCTTACACACTTGACTGTGTATTTATATTTTCTTCCAACAAAACACCAAAAATTCCAACTGCAATTTGCGCCTTTGTTTTGCTGCCCGAGTAGAAGTTTCTTTTGGCCAAAAACTTTTGGCAACAAAACAACGAAAATAGTCAAAGCCAGACGCCAACCAAACACCTAAAACCAAAATACAAAATGCATCATGGAATGGAGGAAAAACCCATCCCGCAAACTGCCAAAGAACACATAAATAAATATATTTACGTGTGAATACACAAACAACAAGAAATTCTGAATCACAACTAAATTAAAGAAATGCTTTCGGCGACAAAATATTTTCCGTCGAGAGGCGGAGGCATGAAGAAACTTGTAGCAGGAAGGGCGGTAAGTGTCGAATTTAGCAGCTGCATGTGTTCTAGGAATTTGCGCTATCAACATTAGCATGTTTGTCCAAATAGGAAATGCAATTTATTTTCAGCAAAGAAGCGCAGAAATATACATATTTATATTCTCACAAATACTTTTAATAATTTATTCATTTTATTTAGTCTTGTTTTTAGAATGCTAAATTGTTTATTTTAATTTTCATAGAAAGGTAATAGCATCAAAGAGATTGGGGCCAATGGGCACTATTAAGTTTAATTTATTGTAATTAAGAAAGTTTTTAAATAAATTAAAAAAACCTTCATTTAATTCCTGTAAAGATTTACTTTTAAAATTGGGAATTATCCTGCTTCTATATAATGATGTACGATAACCGGAAGCCAGTGAAAGGTAATGCCCTAAGCCCAGTGCGTCGTAGACTCAATCCTCCGTCCGCAATTCAATGACAAGCTGATAACAGTTTAGCACAAGTTAATTGCCACGAGCAAATAAACGAGCAACAGTACTGCGAAAGACAAGGATATATGGATGGAGGGGATATTGGCGTGATGAGGGATATATAAGGGATAAGGGGAGTAAGGGAAATACAAGGGGAAGCCACAATCGCATATCCATGTATTAACACATTGGGGGATCAGGTGATGGACGGCGGCCATGATGTTGACATGTGTAAGTAAACTGGAGCGCACAAATCGATGGCCAAATGGCAGAGACATTCGCAGTGGCAGAGGCAGAGTCAGCGGCAAGGGAACTCGACACATGCCGCCAGTGGCAACAACAATTGGCAATCGCCAGGCAGCAGCTAACAACATCGAAGAGCGCCAAGCAGCAACAGCTCATTAGATTAATGACGCTGGTAATGGATTAGCGAGCATCGAAGGCGACACCGCGCTACTGGACAATGCAGGATGGACTTTGGACTATGGATGTGGGGACAGAGGATGTCTATGGTCGTTGGCCGACAGGCGACTTTGTCGTCGGCGTCACTTTGTCTAAGCTGGCAACCAAACAGCAGCACGTAATTAGTGCCATAGGTCGGGTTCGCGTTTTGGGTTTGGGTTTTGGGATTGGAATTGGGGTTGGGAAAACTAGAAACCTGCCAAATGGCCAACTGATGCCAGCTGCACAGGAACAAATTTGAAGTTAACTTATGTTCTGTGATTTTAGCCTGATACATTGGCCCACAAAACAAAGTTACCGCTTTCGTTATCTTAAGCACTTTAAAACAATAACTGTATGTTATATATTAGTGTGTATTTATATTATTTCATAAATAAAAACAAAATCACAATCGCAAGTATAAGAGCAAAATTTAACACGCAGCTGTTGTGAAAAGCTAACTGTTTCTGTCTACATTATCCAACACTATCATATGGCAGAACAGTGGGTACACCAACCTAAATATCGTTAAAAAAAAAATTAAATATATATATATATCAGTGCAATATAATAAATGCAACTGTATTGATTTAACAAATTTATATGTTAAGTATGTTTAAAAAATTTTTTAATTTCCTGTCATTTGCCAATTCAAAAGTTATCTTTCCATTCATCTTTGGTTCTCATTTATTTTGCGATATTCAGTGCTTAAAAACGTGTTAAGCAGTTTACAGTTATGCGCTAATATCTTAAGAACAAAAACTTTATAATTTGTCCTATGTTAAAAACGAGTTATCAATAAAGTTTATGTTCCATGAAAAGTGATCCACGTGCTAGATAATGTTGTGATAGGTTAATTAATGAGTTTTAAGAAGCAACAAAACAGTAGGTAACATATGGAAACAAAAACAAAAACCAGTTAATATATCACGTTATTTTCGTCTGCTTTTTAAATTATTGCAATTCTATTTAGACCTGTTTTTAATTTAAGCTTGTGGAAACATTTGGCTTTCTATTTTGTGGTTCTTTAACCAATTTAAGTTTTACGTTAGTATAACTTTGCCCGGCGACCTGCATAAACCTTTATTCCTGATTTGATCTAGCATTATCCACTATTTGCTATTAATAAGTAAATTACACCTTTACAGGAAATATCGAAATGGAAAACTACAGATTCGGAACCATTGACTATATCGTATTTCTGGGCGTGACGGTTATATCGACCGGAACGGGCATATATATTGGTGCCTTAAAGTAATTTAAAATCTACATATGTATATTATCTGAAGTATTTTAATCAGTTTCTATGTAAATATTCTAGAAAACCAAAAGAAACACTTAAAAAGGTTAACATTTCCGAACCACAAAATCTTTTAGATAGCAGTGGAAAAAGAAATGTAAGTCCGTGCAAGATAGACGAATTTCTTATGGGTTCCCGAAATATGACTGTGGTTCCGGTAGCCCTAAGTCTAATTGGAAGGTAAGCTACTATACATATTATTCGTTTATAGTAAATGTGCAAATATTAATAATACTCTCTCTCTCTCTTAAGTTCCTTATCGGGCGTTACCATTATAGGCACCCCACCGGAGATTTACCATTATGGCACCCAATATTTTTTCATCATCCTAGCCATTTTCCTGCAAGGATTTGCCGTTTCCTATGTTTTTCTACCCGTGTACTGGGCCCTCAAAATTAGCTCTGCATACGAGGTTGGAATTCCAATATTTCTATCCGAATTTATTACATATTTCTAAATCATTATAGTATCTGGAAATGCGCTTCCATCGGAGTGTTAGGAGCATTCTTTCTTTCATTTATGTTTTGTCTACAGTAAGTAAAACCTAACACCCAGATCTTAACAATGTAATCAATGATAAAATTGTAGATAACATATCTACCATTCCTTATTTATCTTCCGGCGTTAGCTTTGAATCAGGGTAAGTTTTTTTTTCACCAATTTAAATACAGTTTATGAATAATCTTTATGGCTTTTAGTTTCTGGCATTAATGCTCACCTGATTGAACTGGTTATGATATTCTCTTGCGTTATGTACACTTTTGTGGTAGGTTTTTGGCCATCATTTATAAAATTCTCTAATTTTAAATTATTTTAAATGTGTATATGTTGTTATTACAGGGAGGTCTTAAAGCTGTAGTTCACACAGATGTCTGGCAAGTGGTTGTTATGTTTCTTTCCATGCTGACGATTGCCGTTGTATCAACATATTACTCCAGTGGCTTAGGCGCTATTTTCGAGGATGCGCAAAATGGAGGACGTTTAATATGGGACAATACTAGTCCCTCACTATATACTCGTCATACAGTTTGGAGCGTTATCATCGGTAGCTTCTCATTCTGGACATCCATAAATGCCGTAGGTCAACATATGGTGCAGCGATATATGTCACTGCCTTCGCTAAAGAAATCCCGAGAAGCCTCCTGGCTTTACACCATTGGAGTTTGTATCTTTGTGGCTCTTTGTTGTTTCTCGGGATTGTTAATTTATTCGAAGTACAAGGACTGCGATCCATTGAGTGCTGGAATGATTATGGTGGGTAATCATATTATTTTAAAATATAACCTGGTTAACAGAATTGATTTCCAGAAAGATGATCAACTCCTACCGCTCTTTGTGGTCCAAAGTATGGGCCATATTTATGGAATTCCTGGTTTGTTTATAGCCGGAATATTTGGAGCTGGACTAAGTTCACTCTCCTCGTGTTTCAATACTCTTGCAATGGTTTTTTTGGAGGACATAGTTCGAGGGTTCTTTAAGATGCATCCTAGCGAAAGAGTCTCAACAATTTTGATAAAATCCAGCATTATTTTCCAGGGAATTATTGCCTTCCTTCTTGTATTTCTTCTCCAGTCCCTGAGCGGCATTCTGAGTGTTTGCAATTCAATTTCATCCATTACGGCTGGCAGTGCTTTTGGCATTTTTACCCTTGGAATGCTGGTTCCCTGGGCAAATACAACAGGTACAGTGGTGGGTGGGATATTTAGTTTCTCTTAACAGCATGGATTTCTTTTGGATCTCAATTCGCCGCTGTATCGGGACAACTTAAATCTCAAATGTTTCCTGTTTCTGTGGAGGGATGTATGGGAAACATGACTAGCCCTCAAGAACTTTATGTGGATGAGGATCAAGTGTTTCCATTATACCGTCTATCCTACCACTGGGTAAATCCAATTGGAGTCGTCACAACCCTGGTTGTGGGATCCTTGGTCTCTCTCATAACAAAACCGACTGATATTAAGACATTACGTTCGGAACTGATATCGCCAGTGATTCATAGGTTTTTATATTAATAATCAATTATCTTATATATCTATCTTAATTGATTTTCCTTTTTCAGATTCCTGCCAAAGGAATGTTTCGCAGATCTTAGCGATAAGAATAACACACAACAAAACCTACTATAATAGTTTTGTAAATAATAATATAGATTTAATAGTAGGACATTTTGTTAACATTAAGAATATTTGTATAAATTTGTTATTTGTATAAATATTTTCAATTTTTAAAATACTTTTTGAAGTACATCGAAACTGGCCATTTGTTTAAACATTTGATGAAACCCACTGACGTTAAATGCACATTTAATTTAGCATTTTGAGCTTAAGCCCACAGGCTTTCTTTAAAATTAATGATACTTATTTAATCTTAACAACCGAGACGCTGATGAAACAAGAAACTTATTCACTGACCAATTCGCCATGACGATGTTCTTTATAATATCAATAATAACTTAAGCATCTTTTGCGTTCTGTTCCCCTTTCGGCCGACATCCGCTGCATTTCAATTAGGCCGCTTCTGCACATCGGTCGACCGACCAGTGAAACCTTAACAGTTAAATATATAAAATACAATTGTACGTACATATAACGGCGTGTCTGTGTGAACTTAATGCTCTGCTTTTGCTTGTTTTAAATGCTAATTTGAATAAATGCCAAAAAGAGGGGACTTTTTGAAATAATCATGAGCTTTGTATACTCTTTTATAAATCAATAAAAACAGTTTGCTTACTGTCAATGTATCTAAAAATGATTTAAAAATATATTTCACTAAAAACGATAGAAACATGGTATTTAAACTTAATTTCTATATATATTCTATATCTTAGCTCCAAACTTAGTTACCCCCAAAAAAGGGTATCTGAAATGACTAAGAAGAAACATTTGTAACTTAGTTTTTGCCCCACTTCTTTTGAGACGAGATTTGCATGCTGAACAGGCTATAGTAACAACAACACAGTGAAGCTCTGCCATCCACTCATATTTTGGCCAGAATTTATGCCCAACAGGCAATGAGAACTTAAGTGATTTCGGTTGTAAGCTAATTGAGAGCCTTGCCGACTGACAGTGGCTAAATGTCAGACTGTCCGCGTCATCGCACCACTGATTACTGAACCACCGACAATTCACAGCAGTCCGCACCACCGAAATGACAACTTCATTTTCCTAACTTCGTCAACGAATCGATCGGTGCTCTAGGCCAAAACGCTTGGACACTTTTCCCCTTCAGTTTGTCAATCTGTTTGTGGAACGTGCAAATGCACTGGGAGTAAAATATTTTAGATATTCTAAGTCTTACTTGGTTTTAAATTTAACAAAGGTTTAGGCACATGTGTACACAGTTTAATCATTTATTTTATAAAAAATGAAAACTTTTTTATATTAGTAAATGTTTGCAATTTTTAAAGAATTCTTAAACCAATTAATGATAATTATATTTCCAGTGATTTTCGATTAATTCTTATCTAAGACGACCGTTAGTGTAATTTTAAAATTATATATTTTCAAATTGTTTTTAGCTTAGAATTATTATTTCCAGTGCACTTTCTGCACCACATTTGAGCCACTTCAATTGGAGCCGGCAGATGGTGATGGAACGCGTGCCAGCGGCTCAAACACGCTTCTAAGGTTTGAAAAGCAAAAAAAAAGAATAGAAGAAAATTCACCAAAACCCAACTGAGTGAGCTCTTTGGCCCGGCACATTGCAAATCTTGATATGCCAATTGGCATGCAGCTCACGTAGCGGTTGTTTTTTTTAATCGACGCTAGTTTTTTGTTGCTCCCGCTGTCATATTTTACCCCTGGCCAAATGCGAACTGCTCCTGCCTGTCCACTACCCACTTGTCCGGTAGCTCCTGTCCGCCGACTAGTGGCGTTTCGCATTCAAAATGTCATGTTGTCAATCGCCTGGACAAGTGTCCGCAGCTTATGTGCCGCTTATGTGCGGTCCGTAGATGAGCATAAATTACGTTTGTCAAGGAGTGCGAAGCGGCGGGGCGCCTTCATTAAATGTGCAACAGTTTGCTGTTTTTTTTTTTTGTTTGTTTGCCCATTCATTTATACTGAAGCACTGGCTCCACACCAGCTCCAAGGGATCTGGACGACATCGAGTTATTTGTAGCAGGATGTAGGTCGGAATCGACCTTGGGAATCGGAATTGAAAATGAAACCGAAAGCGATGTCAACGACGCCGGGTGTGTCTGCTTCAATTACAAGATGGTTAACTATCAAGTGGACAAGAATTCCGACTCAAACTGATGAATGATAGTAGGATAACAATGTATTTATTTATTTGTGTCTCTTAGGATTTAGAATGCAGATACAAATAACAACAAGTACTAAACTTATTCTAATCCTTTGAGCTTTCAAGTGCTTTCATTTTCGTAGAAACTTTAAGGATTTTCCCAAAAACTTTTATTTATTGGTTCTATGTTAGAAAATATCTAAGAGGATCATAAGCAGCTTATAGATTCATTTTATTTTATCTTTCTCAATCTAGAACTCTAAATAGTCTTTCCCATAATGCTTGGTAAATAAATTCATGTAAATAACAAGCTGGCCAAATAGTTTTTGCCTTTCCGTCAATAATAACATTTCTCTGTTTGTCTTAACAATCCTCTAAGGAAATATAGTTCACAGATCTGGCGATTTTCTTTATGCAAATCTGTAAGCATTTCCGTTCCAATAAAGATTGTTTGCATTCCTCAGCGAGTTGAACAAATAAAACGCACCCATTTCGAGTTCATTGAACGCGGAACAACTTTATTAAGCTTTGAAGGAAACCTTAAATTAAAATTCGCATACAGTTGGCAAAATTGATTACTCTAACTTGGAGTATAACTTAAATGTTAGAACACTTCTTAGGGTAAAGAAAATAATAACAATATGGCTGTTGGTTACAGTTAGTGTATAGTGTAGTGAAGAAAATAACTATGATTAGAATATAAATCAAGTTAAATCCCATTTAAAAATAATATTAAGGGTATTTCTTTATTCTCCTAAACCGCACAGAAATTAGACACCTTTTTAATTTATTTATATAACCGTTTATTTATAGTTTCTTTCACAAGTTGATCTCAAGAACTAAGCGTGAGAAAAGAAAACAGATGAGAGGTTAAATATTTATCTAACTGTTATTTGGGGATATCTAGTTACCTTTATCTAACCAAAAACCCAACTACGGCCCAACTTTCCCGTGTCAACTTGCCAAATTTAACGCACGTTTGACAAAAAACAAGAACACCACCCATAAATTGGCCATAAAAGTTGTGTTATTGCCCATGTACGAACATCTCCCCCGAAAAATTCTCACATATAAATTGCTCGAAATTAAGCAAACCCAGAAAAGGGGTGAACTGGCAAAATAAAAAGAAAATACAAAAAAAAAAAATAAAATCAAAAACGAAACACTGCGGAATAAAAACGCAAATGCGAAAGTAAATGAATGCACGTCTCGTATGTGTGCGCGCGCCCTGTTCTGGACTTTCTCTTTTCAAAAGCGTGTAAATAACATTTTTATTATATTTATAACATTTATGTAAAGCACCCACCCACCCCACTGCCACGCCCCCAACAAGCAGGTGTGACACTTTTTTATTATTTCAGTTTCGTTTTTTTTTGTCTTATATATTTTTTTATTTGATTTTTTTTTGCCGGCTCGCGTTTTACTGACCCACTTATCACGCGGTGCGGCATCAGAATGAAGTGGCAGTGGTGCTGCCAAGGTTTCCTCCTGGCGCAAAAGAGAGGGGGCGAACGCCGGCAAGAGAGATAGCCTGATATTACATATATGCACGTCATATAAAGAGCAAAAGCAACTGTGCAAATATTTGGATGCCAAGACAGAGCATAAAACAATGCCCGGTAACACTGGGATCATTAACAAGCTATACAAAAAACAATGTTCCAGAAAGAAAGGGTTAAGGTACACAGAAATATATGAAAAATATAGAAAATGTATTTGTGAATTAAATACTTAAAAAAAGCAAAGTTTATCATATTTTATATATTTTTATATTAATCTTTAAGGTTACTTCTATGTTATTTACATCAGAACCCGGCTTTAAACTAATTTTAATAATTCATAATCCATGGCAAGCCCTTTTTTGAAAAGATATCTTGCTCATTTTGAGTAAGATCATGCATATTAAACATATTTCTCGCCGTGTATAAAGAGAGAGTGAAAGAACAAAAGAATCGGACCCACATTTCGTAGGCCATGAAATTGTCAGCGAATGTGAAATTTTAAATAAAATGATGAATTTATAGGAGTTGCTGCTGTCGTCAAACGTGCGAGAATTTCAAAAAGCAAATCAACTGGTTTCAAGCCTAACTTTTCGGTTGCCAAGGGTGTTGTATCTTTCAGATACTTTTCGTGCCGTCTCTTTCACTTTGTAATATGTGAATTGCATTTATCAGAACAGAATAAACAACTCAAAGAGCACAAGCAATTCATTCAAAAAGGACGGAAAGTAAACATATCAATTTGCACAAAAAGAGAGTACTCGAAATGTTCTTCTTTAGTATTTACTTAACCCAAATTTAAGAACAAAAAAAAGGTTAAAAAATTGTACAAATGCATTTACAGTTAACCATGAATTTAAAGACTTAAGTTGGTTTTATGCAAATACTAAGGAAATATACAGTTAAAGTCGGAAAAATAGGACTGAAAAGGATTTTTAGAGGATTATTTTTTATTTTAAAAATAAATTTAATTCTTGTTAATACCAATTTGCCCTCCACTGTCTCTCCTCCAACCATCTGAGTCACAAGCACATGCAAATCAGATCAGATTCCTTGGCAGTCGACGGATTACACAACTCGCTGTCGAAATGACTTAAGCTTCTCCCTTACCGACTTACATCCCCTTTTTGCCAATGCTTTTCCTTCAGCATCCGCTGACCGTTGAGATTGTTTTTGCCTTTGAAAGCGAGCTGCTTGAATAGCCGCTGTGCCAACAATAATAAACCCCGGTTCCCCCACTCCCATCCCCTCAGAGCCCCAATGAAATGATAACTTTACCAACGCTGACACTGGCATTCAAATTGATTCTGCGGATTCTGCGGCAGCACAATTAGATTTCTTGCTGGGCGAAATTAATTATGCGTGCACATTTCAATTATAGCGAAGCTACTCAGCAATTAGAAGGTCACTGGGCTCCCAGAACACAATTAACTTGATTTTTTTCACTCAGCAGCGTAAATCAACTTAAATTGTTATGGCTTTTAATATCAAGTATACGCCGGG